AAACCCAATCTACGCAGATGCCATCGCCGCCGCCGCCGCCGCGTCGTTACCTTTCCAAGGGAAACGGGCGGAGGGGCTCCTGTTGAACGCGGAGGGATACGCCGTCGACGGCAGCGGCTTGTCTGCGGCACCCGTGAAAACCGAGTTCGGCAGCGGGGCGAAGCCGGCGACGCAGGCGCCCGGCGTGGCAAAGCTGGAGACAACGGCAGCGAGGAGCGGGTTGACTTCTGCCGTTGCGCCTTCGGCAGGGGATGATGCGGTGTCATCCCCGGGGGGAGAACGCCGGAGAGACGACGACCGAATACCTCGGGGGGAGAGGGGAGGGGTGGACTGCCTCGTTGAGGCGGAGCTGCTGTCGAGGGACGCGCAGCTGCTAGAAGACGAGATAGAAGCGTCCTTCGGTACAGGCTCGGACTTGTGGCACCCCTGGTCGTCGCGAGAAGAATGGGGTTCGGGGAGACTCGAACGGAGCAGCTCGCAGGGCGTCAAGAGGCCGGCGCCGCTGTCGCAGGAGACTAACTCGACGGGCTGCTACGCCAACGAGAGAGATACGAAGTCTCTGAAGACCGAGGGTGGGGTAGCGGCGGCCGGTGGCGGTGGCTCTGCTGCCAACGGGGCGTTGTATTGCCCCGGTGAGTTTAGACTTGGTCCGTCCGTATTCAGGGACAGCAGTGTCGTACATCTGTTTTTTTTGGGGGGGGGGGCGTCGAGAAATGGGTTGGGGTTTCGATGTGTGTGTGCCGTGACCATGAGGGAGGGAGATGGGGCTACGTTGTTCCCAACTAATTTTCGCGGCACTGTTGGAGGATGCATGTGTCCCGTCTTGAGTACATGCACGAGAACCGAGCGCGCGAGGTTGGAATTCCTACCTAAGCCCTTCGCCACGTCAACCCTTTGACGAGATGACCCCCCATTGTCTTACCGGAACCACCACACCGGCCATAACGCACTTCCAAAACTTTAGAGCCACGATCAACGACAAGGGAGATGAAAGGGGCGGCGCCGGCGTTGGAGCAGGCGGCGGCGAGAGCCGCGGCGGAACAGCTTTCGCCCAGCCACCGGTCGCAGCGGGTCCCGGGGGCGCGAGCGTTGGCCCCGTTCCTGCAGGCGGTAACGGCGTCGCAGAAGATGAAGGTCTCGCACGAAGTGTGTCGGGTAATGACGGCAGGCGTAAAGGTGAGGGATGAGGAGGAGGAGGAGGAGGAGGAGCCGGAGCGCCGAGAGAAGGCGTGGATGGCAGAGTCGAGAGCGAAGAAAGAAAGAAAGAGCGAGAAGGGTTGCGGGGGGGGGGAGGTATACACATGTTTAGCATGTCATACTTGGTGGTTGTTCGACCGCGCGTCTTCGAGAGGACGGGGCATTGTTCCCACGCGACCGACCAAGAATATACATTTTGAAAAAAATTACCAATTGTTGTTGTTTTTGGCGCCGATGGTCAATCGTTCCTTCCTACTTTGCCAAACGTGGTTCAAGCATGTTTTCCCTCTCCTATCTATCCTGTCGCGGGGGTAATTAGTCGCGCTCCGGGTCCTTGGTTTCCCCCGTGGCGTAGTGGACCCGCAGCTAGACTTCGCTCGTGTTCATGAGTCCGACCACACACACCGCCCGCTCCCGTTCTCGTTGATCTTCCCGTCCGTCCCTGTCTGCGAACGCCCCAGGAATACCTGCGGCGAATCATAGAGGCTTGTCTCGTCAACGCGCGGGATGGGCGGCGGCGGGGGAAGGTGGAGGTGAAGGCGGGCGTGAGAGGTGCGACTACGCTTGCCATGTCTTGGCTTCCGTGTGTGCATTTTGTGTGTCCCAATGGTGGAGAACAACTAACTTTACGCATCAAGTGTTCGATCCTGTGCACGAAGGGCAGTACAGTATGTACGTTCTTCGGAGCACGACCTTTGGTCTGCCCCTGCCCCCCTTGGCATCGTGTCAGAATGAACCGGGCGGGGGAGTCCGGGGGGAGGGGGTTGATGCCACAAGCCTGCGCACTTTTCAGCATTGTCTCATCGGGCACACGCCACCTCGCCGTTTAGTTTTAGGCGTCGCATCTTCCACGACCTCGTGCCCCTCGTGTCCACGTTAATCCAATTCTACTTTTCTTGTGCCCCCGGCCGGTTGGTTCCCTTCCCGCTGCAGGCATTGCTCCGGCGGCAAACCCTTCCAAGGCTAGCAACGGGGCGGTAGCACCACCACCAGGCGGTGTAAAGAAGCAAGTGGGGGCGGCTTCGCCAGGGGCCACCACGCCGACAGCAGCCGCAACCTTGATGAGCCCGCCGGCACCAGCACCAGCGGCGCGGGGAGTCGGAGGGGGGGGCAGCGGAGGAGGCGTCTTGACGCCGGGACACCTGCAGTCGGCGCTGGAGACGACGCCGAGGTTAGTCGGACCGCCGTCCTCGACGAGAGCGCAGTGGCGGAGGGTGGCGACGTACGCCGCAGCAGGGGGGGGGGTGCCCCAGCTCCCCGGGACGGGGGTTAGAGGAATCGGGTGGAGTTTTGTTCCTCCAAGCTTTTATTAGCCCAGGTTGGGGGGGGGGGGGGGGTGCTGGAGGTCTATGTGCCGTACGCCATAGACGGAGTATGATTGTATCGCACCCATTGTTGGACCGGTTTTCAATGCCAGACTGCTTTACAGCAGCTTTACAGCAGGAACGGGTGACGGCGCCGAAAATGATGGCGTTGGCACCGCCGTCTCGTTGAGAACTTGGCGAAAACCGTGCCGCTTGATGCAGACACCCATAGGGTCGCGGGGTAGTCGAGCACGGAAAATGGCCCAATGGGGTGTGGTACCCTACGTCATGTCACCGACGGTGCTGTATGCATATCTACCTATCCTGGACTTGTGCGGGGGGAGGCAACGGGATTGTTTTCCGCCGAGCGTGACAAGTCACGCCCAACAGCTGCGTGCGGGGCACGTGAAGAAGACACACAACAGCGCTCGCGCAAAGGCTCTACCGCCGTACTGCCATCGCCATTTGAGCGCCGCAACAACCGAGATAGAGCAGTAGTACTGTTGTGTGCGGCTTTCTCCTTGTCTGCACCCCGGCTTTTCCCGTTCTGGACCAGTGATGAACGAAAAAATGAGCCGTGCATGACACTGAACCCCCCCCCCTTTCGAGTGTCGGGAGTGCATAGATGGCACAGCTCAGACGTGCGTTGAGAGCCTTCAGCTCTCCCGCGAGTGTGGAATATGAAATCCCGAGCGTGTGCGGCATGGTCCCCGACTTTCGCGGCCGGAAGCGGCGCGATTTAATAGCGCCAGATCCGGCGAAGCACAATATAGATTAGTGTTCAGAGCACACGCGTTGTTGTCGTAAGGTGTAGCACTACATGCATCGTGTGCATTTTCATGACTGAGGGTTAGGTTACTTGAGCGAGCACAGGTAGGTTGGAAGAGGGTTGTTTGCAGCCGGGTTCATGCTTGCTGTCGCGTAGTTTCGGATGGGTAGTTGGTAAACGTTTTTGGACACTCCAGGTACTATGCCCGACCGACGGTCGGGGTCGGTGTGAACCCTTGTCAGCATTTACCTAGTCTAGGGGCTAGAAAAACGGCAGAAGCCCAGTGTGAAATAGCGATGAGTTTTACTACATAGATGTCACTCGTTGCAGCTCACTGCCGTCGGAACGAGGGTGGCGAAGAAAGAGCCCGCTCTTCATTTTGTAGCCATGTCTCTCCAAGTTTCCAAATTGAGAAATTGTCGTCTTGTTTTGTCTCTGTTTCATCCGTACGTACAGCTACCGTTGATACGACACAAGATAACACACCCCCTGGACCGATTTGCAAACCTCGATTACTGCACGATGGAGAGCAAGCTTAAAAGAATCGACACGATGTCGGAAAGCTCTCGGCGAGACGGTTTCAACGCCGCCATGTTCGGCGGTGCCAGTCATTCTGTTGTGGAGAAATCGAGCTTTGAAAACAGCTTCAGGGGGTGTGGTATCTTGTGTCACGTATACTACTACGGTAGACTGATGTGAGGCGTAGGCAGACATCTCAAGAAATAATCAACACAAGGAACGAACGGTTGCGGTTTCGGAAGACGTGACATTTTATCGTTGCGAGACGAAAAATGAGAAGATGGACGTGTCCCCCCGCCGCACTATAATAGGAGCGCTTGTGTGTCACACGAAACAATGCCGACGACCGTAAAAATGAAGCATTTTTTTTTTTGGGGGGGGGGCCAGAAACCAATCCTCAGCAGGATTGTGGAGTTATGTAAGCGCTATTCGGTCGGCCCGTGGTTCCGTCTGCGGGTACACGAGAGAAACAACCAACACAAAAAGGACTTGTTGCCTGCCTTAGAACATCAACTGGCCTCTTCAGCCTTCTTCAGGAACACCCACCCTCCTTTGAGCTGTTGACTGTCCACGCGCCGCCAGGACCATCCCCCCAAAAAAAGAAGTTACAATAGCTATCGGCCGATTGACGTCCTAGGAACCAGCCACATGTTTTGGATTATGTCACCCCTCGGCAGAGCCGCCCCGCCCCCCGTGTTGGCGTTCGCGCTTATCACTCCGCCTTTTTTTTCGTCGGGCTTTATTGGGATAAAAAACGCGAACCTAGAGGTAAGGTCTGACCAGTCCTCCTCTCTTGAGACACAACTCAGCCTTTCCAACCGAACGAAGCCTCGCGGCCCTCGAGGCACGACTGGGGAAAATACTATTCTACCTCATGCACAACGATGCTCTCGACTGCAGCTGGGGCAGCTTCTTCATAGATGAGGAGGTCATACGGTGGCGCGTGTCGTCAAACGTCGACTCCTTCCCGTCAATCGGTCGTCAGAATCATGTGATTCGATATACCCGTACACCGTCCAACCCAATCCAGTCCAGTCCGCGACCAGACGTGTGGGTTTCTATTGGAGGCATTCGTTCCGACATACACCGCGACCGTTACATACAACGCCAATCGTGTGGAACCACAGGTTTACGCCTACGGCCACCCACACAAAACAAAACATCAACATTGATAATCGCACGTTTGAAATTGCACGGTGTGAGACACTGGATGCAACAAGTTTTGGCTGTCATCAACACGCGCGGTCATGCCCCCCCCCCACCCCTACCAGATGATGTTTTCGATTGCAGCCGAGGGATCTTTGCTCCTGTCTACCCACTTCATGGCATTGAGGGCACCCCCCCCCCCTCCCCGAGCAGATGATGCTATCGAATGCAGCCAAACGTTCACTGCACCTATCTACCCTCTTTCCTAGCGTCGAGGACACCCCCCCTAATCAGATGATGCCCTCGATCGCAGCGGAGGGATCCTTGCTCCTATCTGCCCACTTCTTGGCGTTGAGGGCGGTTGGGCCAAGGATAAGCGCGGCGGCCGCGGCGTACGACGGTTGGAACGGGAAGTCGAGGTAGAGCTCCCCCCACTTGACCAGCGCCGCTCCGACCACCGTGATCGCCAGTACCTGGCCGTAGAAGGGAACATCGTCACCAAGGGACGATGAGGCCTCCCTGCCAAGAGTGAGAGACAGAGCGAGAGAGAGAGACACACACACATACAGAGAGAGAGGGAGACAGACAGACAGACAGAGCGAGAGAGAGACACAGAGAGAAAGAGAGAGAGAGAGAGAGAGAGAGAGAGAGAGAGAGAGAGAGAGAGAAACACACGAAAAACGTACCGGTCACAAGCCACAGGGTGTGTCAAAAAGAGCGAAACGGCGAGGCAGAGCGGTTCGGGGAAGGGAAAGCGGGGGTGGTATCCTTCTTTTCTCGATGCCTTGGTGGCAGTTGAAACCAGCCACCACAAGCTTCTCGGGCGTTAAAAGAAGGTGTCCGTAGCGGGGGGGGGGTATGTAAGCCGGTATTCAGATTGGATAAATATTCTTCTTGGAGTGGATGTGGTTCGCTGGGCTCTTCGAGTCTAAACGCGTCAGCTATAGGGCTGTTCGAGCTTTCCTTATATCATCTAGCAATCACCGCTTGATGGTACTACTGTGCTCTCATGAGCCCGCCCACTCCGGAGGAAACCCTTGCATGAACAAAAAAAAAAACACAGGGCACACAGGCCATAGTCGTCAGACCATCGGCCTCGCGTGATGCGGGTACGTGGCGATCAGCCGAGTCAGGCTGCTATGATTCATCAAGAAGGACGACAATAGACACCAGCTTCCCGGGCTGACAACACCCTTGTGCTAGCTAGCTGCGCCAAGACCGGGGAATTGCGAGCGGTTTTTGTGGGTCGTGGGGGGGAGCGTCTGTCGCGCGAGCTGGGTGAAGCATGAAGCAGGCAATATTGAATGGTACGAAAAGGTTCTCCACTTCTGACCCTCCCATGACGGCAACTCACCCCTACATGGCCGAAGGCCTAACCGCTAAGGTATGCAAAACATGAGCACGCCCTCCCCCCTGGCTATTTACTTCCTGAAGACTTCACACCACTACTGCTAACACCTAGACGACACACAGAATCGCGCAACACTCGCATGGGGACAAAATCAGTGGCCTTGGCAGAATTTTTCGATTTATTACACACATCGGATAAAGGATGCAATCGGGGAAGCTGGGTTAGGGTTTAGGGTAAGGGATAGGGTCTGCGTACCCCCCTCCCTGCTCTTGTTCCTCATAAACTTAATTTCTCGCGAAGGCGGTCCGACAACTGCCCACGAAGGCCGGTCCGACAACGTCAAAGGGAGGCGTCGCACTATTTAGCCCTGCTTCCTCACCCCTCGCTGGCCGCCGCCGCCGCCGCCGCCGCCGCTTCCGCCTCCTCCACCTCGTCTCCCCTCCACTCCTGCTTCCCCGCCTGCCAGACTCTCCACGTAGCGAACGCCATCGTAGCGTTCCCGAAGCACGTCAGCCCCGCCTGATTTTCGAGTCGGGTCGATGCCGTTCAAATTAGAGACTGCTGCTTTGCAGGCGGGTGACGTCCGTACGCAACGAAGACAGCGGCCCGGAGCACGTTCATACATACATACATACCTGCTCGCTCATACCGAGCACGTCTGTGTGCCACGCGCGCTGAACGGCACTTAACTCAGGCGAAGAACGGAACTGTTCCTGCCGGCGGCTATTCAGCAGCCGAGGGGGTGTGCGGTCCCGCGCCCCATCGCTGGGGTGCAGGCGGCTGGGTCTCTCGGTGCGCTCGCCGAACCACCCCGACCTCAACCCGAAGCCAAACCCCAGTCCTTGAGCGACAATAAAAAAAATAAAGTCGCGACCGTGTCACTGCGATGATGGGCAGAACTCCACTTGTCCTCCAACACGATTCCTGAAAACTGATCAATAAGTTTACCAAGAAGGGCCACGGCGAGCCGTGCCTAACAGATGCTGCGCGGCGGTGACGGGGGTCTATTGGACTGTAGAATTGGACCAATGAAATAATCGCAGTCAACCCCCCACGGAATCCCCGCTGAAGTCAAATCAAGTGGCGTCGGCGCCAAAGACCCGACAGCATCTACTGCAGTACTTGAACGCCATTGTGGCGGCACCGTACATGCCAGAAACCATGAATGGCCAGTGTGGGGGGGGGGGGGGGTCGCACCTGCATCGCCACAAGCGAGATAAGCTCGGGGGCGTTGTAGAAGATGTGGTACGTGCAAGCGATCAGACCGCTCGTGTGTAGGGGCAGCATGCCCCACGTTAACCCCTTCCACTCCTTAAGGCCGGACACGTCCGCGAACCTGATTTTCTCGCGACGAAGAGATGGCATGGAAGGCGGTCGCAGGTGGGGGCGGGCGGAGGGGTCCAAAACGCCAAATGTGCTCCATGTCATGGAAGACATCATGGTGTGCTTTGAATCGCGCCACCACACCACGATAGTGTTCAACGTGCTCCAAACTAAGCATGCTTAAAGACCACCGCATTGCTACAAGTCCACCTGGCGGGGGTGGGTGGAAAGGGGTTCGCGCAATGGAGGACATGATTTCAAAAGGAGGGAAACAATCGATTTTTCGTGTCCACTAATTCGCCGTAGCCAAATCACACTATTTACTCCCTGATCGCTCCTACAAGACAAGGCTAAAAGACAAAAATACAGGGCTATAGCTGTACCAAAAAATGAGCTTGTGAATCTATCATTGTATGACGTTTGCTAAACGGGTATTATAGCACAACGCGGTGTTGCTCTTAAAAGCTACCGCAGTGAGCGCCATGGGTTTAAGCAATTCTAAGACGATCTTCGCCGCAGACAGGATGTCTTGCGTGCGGTGTGTTACTGGGGTATGGTAATCATATCACCTCCAAACGTAGGTCATGGCAGCGAGCCACTCGATCAAGCTCGACACGTGCACCATCCACGTCGGGAAAGACAGGGCGTTCCCCGGTTCCGTGTGCGCCGCGGCGAGCATCTGCAGACGCACCAAGACCAACGTGGTAAACGTATGTATCCACTAGTACGCCGGTATATCAACAAGCATGTGCATGTAGTACATACGTACTCTGGCATTTCAAGCAAAGGCATCAGGTAAAGGCGGGTATATGTGTGCACACTGCCAATCCAAGCGACAGCACGCATGTCTATGTGTGTGCGGTGGTTGTGTCAAGCAGAGGCAGGCACTGCAGGCACGTATGTTTATGCTGGTTTGTGGGATACGTACCAAGCATGTTCAGGCAGGCAGCACGCAAGGCGTGGCCGTCCGTCCGTGACAACTTTCCCGGCAATGCCAACAACATCAACCGACAACACGCGCAAGCCAGGCTGGACGGAGCATTGTTCCCACAGGACCGATCACCAATGGCCAATCGTTCCTTCCTACTTTGCCAATGGTGGCTCAAAAATGTCTTTTTCTAGCCTATCCATCCTATCGGTATCACTTCGGAGTCATGGGAGGGAGAGAAGCGGGGAAAAAAGCGAGATACCATACCATGTACCTCCTATGGAGAGTATTGCGGAGGAAGACGTTGTTTTAGAAACCTGGACATTGACACGATCACCCACAAAAATGAGCAAAACAAAAAGGTGTTACTACAGCTGTAGCCAAGCAACGACGAAAAGACGTGCCCAAACAGCCAGGGAACAACACCAGCAGTGACAAGACTGGTGCACCTTCGATACTAATAAACCTTTAGTCAACACAGAACTCCTGCGTGACTTTGCTCTTGTGTGCCCTCGGCTGATGCGCCAGGTATGGTATTTACGCCGAAAGGCCTCAAAACCGGCGCCAGAATAGATGGGACGAACGCACACACAGTCGAACGCCCTCTGATTCCAAAAGCATGCATCCACCAACCACCCCCCTCGTGACAAGAGGGTCATTGACCAGGCCATCAAGCCAAGCTCCCGTTGCCCTCGTAACCGTGCATCAACCGAGCACCCAGCCAAGCACTACATGGAGCATGCCTCGACCGAGTGCACCTCTACATAGCGCCATGTACCCCACTGAACCTCCTTGAAAGACGACGTCCTTGAGTGAACGCTAACGCTCACCATCGGTGCTGCTGCGAGGGCTGCTACTGCCGCCGCCGCCGTGCTGCTCCTCAACGCGGTACTTCCAGCTCCTTCAAACCGGCACAGTTTGGGCAAAGGCGGGAGCACGGGGGGGGGGGGAGGGGAGGTACGATAACTGTTTTCCTTTCCGTAGGTGACTCGGGGTCTTTAATTAAACACGCGTCGTCCACCTGCTGGAGAAAAAAACAAAATCTTCTCGTTGAAGAGGCAAACCCAACATCTATTGTAGGGCACTCTCTTCAACGTGTTAAACCGTATATATCTTCACTTCGCGCATCGTGTCCTACGCAGTCGGCATGTCGAGGGGGCCCCGCAACTGACGTAATGGTGTACCCTACACACGAAGCCGTTTGGCCAAACCTCCTACTACGCCTCCGACAACACCGACAGCCAAATGAACCATGCGGGAACGTTCGATGGAAATGATAAGCTTGCGTCCGAACTGCCGCGCTAAGATCGAGGGCAGACACCACAGCATGCAGGACGCTTGAACCCTCTATTGTCCATGGTAGGCCAGCGAAAGATGGGCGCGCGTGTCTCCTCAAACTGGGCCTCTACGATGTAAAAAACAACTACCTCCTGCTCTCGGTGCTGCCATCTACTTGTGTCGATATCCCCCGAGGTTTGTTGCCGACGCTCCTACCGTTGCTGGCGGTTCAAATTTGCAGCGGTCATTGTTCTCGCACTACAACGCTGCGTATAGTACGTGTTGATACCTCCGATGCTGTTGTTGGTGCTGCTACCCTTGTTGACAATCTTTAGCTTCAGTCTCATCGTTCAATATCCGTGGAAGTTTTCATTCGTATGCCCCACCCATTGCCCGACCCGGTCTAAAATGCTGATCTCGAGCTACAGTGCAAATCTCGTGGCGCCTCGAGTATGGTTCGGTGTGGAATCGCAAATCATGAGCCGTCCACGAGTTTGAGCAGCTTCCACCTCCTGTAGCCGGCAAGAGTCGGCCTCGACTGTTCCTTGCCTGTTTCGCCATGGAAACGGCCGGTTGAACAGCGAAATAGGGTCCTTCGTGCTGCGCGCCACATTTTTTTTTTTTTTGCGTTTGTTCTTGAGTGACCACCATCGCATGTACACATACATGCGGTTGGTCGTACGGTTATCGTAGTCAGGTTTGACAACAGTCTGCTCGTTCGTATAGCGGTAGCGGTGCGCATCTATCGCGACGGCAAGCGCATTGAGATGATAGTTTCTTTCGTCGTGCTTCTAGTCTACACAGATAGTCGTGTTCTTCTTTGTTGCCACTTCATACCAGAAAAGAAAGAAAGTCTCCACCAACTTACACTATCTCCACAGCAGTTCGGAAACGACGACTATTTTTCTTTGGTCGTGTTTATTGTTGCTGAGCGCACATCGGATGTCGCCGTTCGTTACACGTGTTCAAGCCTGCGGTGGGCCAGATGGATGAGAGTGAGTGTCTTCTCGAGAGTTCATGCCTTGTCTTCTCGAGTCTCTCTTCCTTTAGTCTACCTCTCTCTCTCTCTCTGTTGCATTTTCGCCGTTAGGGTCCCTATAACGTCGAACGTCAACGGCAATCGTTTTGCATCTTGCTGAGTAGGAGGCTACCCGTGTACCTGGCTGCTGCATGTGAGGCGATGGGCGCCGCCTCTTGCCGTCAAGCAATGCGCATGGCCCCTACGGTTCGCCGCACATGCAGTGCTGTGTGACAGCTTCCAGCGGTTCAGAGCGGCGACGGTGTCTTTTTTCGCCGGTAGGGCCCCAGAACAACGCGAACCGCGACTGTATCATTGTTTTGGGGTTCCCCACTCACCCACCCATCCATGAATTTCAGCAGTTTTCGTTGGGGGGGTGTTTTTCTTGTCATGTCCATGACGTGGTGCCCCGAGCGAGTATGGTTCGGGAGGGAATCGCAACCAATGACCCCTCCCCCAGTTTGAGTATCAGCTTCGGCTTCCTGTGACGGACAAGAAGACCGGAAATTGTCTCGCCATCCAAACAACAGTTGGCCAGTTGAAAGAAAGAGGGCCCGGTCCGCCGAAGATTTTATTTTTGTGTTTCCCTGCCGACTATTTAAAAACCTCGGCTACAGCAGTGCAAATAAATCTCATGGCGCCTCAAGTACGGTTCCGTAGGGAATTGCGAATCACGACCCCTCCCCGACTTTGAGTAGCTTCCACCTCCTGCGGCGGATAAGACCGACGTCAAACCCTAGATTTTGTCTGTCTGTGTCGCCATGTCGTCGCCATTCACGAACAGCAGTTGGAGAGTCACAAAAAAGAGGGCCCGCTTCGCCACCAAGAAAACAGATTTTTTTTCGATTCTTCTACAGCTGGATATGATGCTACCATATTCGGGTACAGCTGTGGTTGAGCTTGAGGGATAAGGTCTACGGCAGCATAATATTCTGTGCGAGGAGTCAACGCCTTCCTCGCGTAACGATGCGCATCTCCCACGGCAAGCAGAATGAAGTACGTCGTCATGACCCTATTTCTTGTGACTACAACAAGTTCAAGTTCGCCCGGGTGTTAATTGTTCTTGCCGGAGAAAGAGACTAAACTTCCACTACGTACCAGTCCGTGTACCCGGGTACTGCATGTTGTGAGGTAGTGGGTGCTGCCCCTGATATTTGCTGCGGTACATGGAAAGCTTCCGGTGGGTCAGAGCGGCAAGGGGGCCTTGTTTCTTCACCTGTTTCTTAGCTCTGCTCTCCTCTACTTCTTTGTTTCCTGTCGCTGGCGGTCTCTCTTTTGTTATCGCCCTTCGTTCCTGCTTTCAATACAATACACTGTGAGGATGTGCACTGGCTGAGTCTGACTGTTTCTTAGGGTCCCCCGCCCACCCACAACCCACCTGTCCCTATGATTCGTGGTCTCCAATATTTTCAGCAGTAGTATTGGTCTACTAAAGGACATGCGCTACTACTACTGCTGCGTCCACGGGTGGGTGCAACAGAAGAGTCCCGGGGACTGATGGCCTTCTAACCTGATCGTGCGGAGAGAGGTTCCTGCCACCACCACAATATGACTCTTACGATATGTCCATAACGGGGAACGCTTACTACGCCTCTGCTTTTCCCCCCCTCTCTCCTCCGGCTCTCTCGTTCCGGAGAGATAACCTAAAGTGAAAAGTGCATCTCCTCTGGCGTCCGCATTCATTAAGTCCCGGATTCATTCCCAGCGTGAGGAAGAGCGAGTTCTGGGTGTGGTCTCCTTTTCATTTGGGTGTGACGTGCGTGCTACATGCATGTAAACGAAAGAAACAGATCAACGAGATCATTGGCGGCATTCTTGAAAGCATGGATGGGGCGTAGTGAGAAGTGGCGGTTGAAGACTGACGGTTTTTTCGGGTGCGCGTGACGTCGCCTCTAATATTGTTTTGCTTTTTATTGTTACGTTGTCCAGTCTATGGCTGCTACCTCGCATAGCGTGTTGAAGCGAGCGGAGGGTCCTAGACTAATAATCTGTCGTTGACTTGCGGACCCTTCTTAGGGTCAATTTTATTTTCGTGTAACTTTTTGGGTAAGTTAGCCTGTGACCACGGCGGGAATCGACCGCGTCAAGTGTCAGACTATCATACATAGTAGTACGGACAGACGAAGAAGGTACTGGGTAGAGAGAACAGAACGAACGGTTTTGTAATTAATGGTGAAGACAACAACAACGGAACTGCTGGGTTCGTCCATGGATAGTTTTTGCAGCACTTATGAAGTATTAGTGTATAAAACGACTTCTTCATGGATGGGTAATGAGAGGTTTCAATTACTTACTGAAGTGGAGGGTGCTCCTTGTTCTTATGCATGGCATGTACCGGCAGTACGTGACATAATGTATCGCATCATCAATATTCACAGCAAATAATGTTAGTCCACGACGACGAGGATGTCAAACGATAGGTTTGTTTCGGAAAGCTATCGGTGCCAACGCCGCCCGGCCACGCTTTCTGCTGTGGAGTAATCGAGCTTTGAAAGTTAAAAACTGTTCAGGGGGTGGGTGTGATATGTTATGTCATCTACTCTGTGTACAGAACTCTTTGTCGTTCTCGGTGGGCGAGCGTGTCGCGGTGTGCGCCCTCGACTTTATCAACCGCCAAAAAACTGGAAAGCTTTAAGCTTCAGACAGGCAACGCGACGATACTCGTCGAGTTGCTATGACAATGCGTACTTGCAGCTGATATATTGCTCTCGCACTACGTAGATGTTCAAACCCCATGTTGCTGGTCCTGCTGCGCCTACTGCTGCCGCTCACTCACCGCCCGCGGCCGGCTGTTTGCCGACGACCGCCTTACGGAAGGCCGAGACGATGAAAAGGTTGGTGAGGGTTAGGAACGACTCCGCGATGCCGTGAAGGTAGTCCACGTTGGCCAGGATCTCGTTGTACTCCGTCTTGGCTAAGGTCGGATGAAGCCACGCGCAGCAGCATCAGCAGCAGCAGCATGGCGGCCCGGTTTTGGAGGGCAAGATGAAGGACGACGAGGAGGAGCGAGGTGGAAGCAGAGGTCGGAAACACGGGGAGACGACGAGATACGCCGCCGCATGAACAGCGTGCCGGACCCGCCCGGTTGCATGACTCTCCCAACTCCCAACGCTCGCCGTTGAAAAATTCATCTACTGCTGTACCGTTTCGAAGATGGAATGGCGGGGGGTCGAAACGGTTTCTGAACCGGAACCAAACTCGGCCGTTTACACGTGCATCGCGGGGTTACTGCTGCTCTCCAGAATGTTCTCCGGCAGCAAGAAGACGGTGGCGCACAAATCATCTCGTTTCCCAACACGCGTGCCTGGAATGACCGCAAATTTTCGAAGCAGCACGTACAAAGTGCTACAAAGCGTGGTCTGCCGTCGCCAAAAGCTTCGTTCTCTGCTGTGGAGCGATAACAGGCTCAGACGTGGCTACTTTCCCCCGGCTGGGCCCATTCTATTTTTCCTTATTTTATGGAGGCTGTCGCTTTCACTACCCATGCCCCAAGACCCCCACGCCAAAATTACGTGCACCGCCTGACACGTCAACCATAAACCACAAACATTTCGGTGTGTAGCGCGCTGCAGAGTGTGGCGGGACGAACACAAAAAGCGAAAGAGCGCAATGCTTACCGTAGATTCCGGCCGGGATGGTGGCAACGACAAAGACGAGGAGGAAGGCGAACCCAAACGTGCCCCCTTCGGGCGTCTTGGTCTCCTTCCTGCTCAAGAGCCACAGGAACGCCAGGTACGGGAACAGCGACGCCTGGAACAGCTCCGCGGCGAAGTCGCTGGTGATGGACGTGACCGACCAAGCGGAGACAGCGCCATCGGCCCCCCCGCCGCCGGCCGCCACAGCGGTGGATAGCGCCGCCACCGCCGTACCCGGGTCAAGCATGTGCAGCTTCGAAGACCCTCGATGCTGCCGTCTCCTGCGCCTCGACCCTGCCACGCCCCCTAGCGCTCTCGAGGCACCCCCCCGGTCGAAAAGGCCTGCAGGTGCCGCCGCCGCCGCCCCGTGCCGCCGGCTACATAGGTGCTGCTGTTGACGGGGGCACGTGCCTGAGGGGGTTGTTCGAGCTGCTCGGGAGAGGCTGCGTGGGGTGAACGCGGAGCTCTGGTGCGGGAGAAGCACCGCTAGGGCAGACAAATCTGAGATTCGGTCCAGGGCCATGGCCAGGTTCGAGGCACGCGACAAGGCGGGGCGGGAGCGGGATGGCACGGGACTGTCTGTTTATTTGTACGCATCTGATGCAGCATGTAGGTTGACGCATGTCCTGTTCCCGATGTGAGCTACGCACATGTACAGCTATCTCATGCACTGAGGCATGCTTCCATGTGCAAGGAGACAAAAGGCTCTACAACAGCACCACCGCTCTTCAGCTCGTACTCACAGCACAGCGGTTCCAATCGCATCGTGTCGAGTGTGGGAAGATGGCCGGTATGTTTCGCAATTTCAAGCATTTCGAGATTTCGAGCGTGGGGAGGGGGGGGATGGTTGGGGCGTATCGGGTAACAAATGAGACGAGGCGTTGGCGCTGTCGGGTGCGATAATTTCCGCCGCTTTACCTCACTGCCCCATCTCGAACGCCTTGGTCGCTTGCTCCCTGGGACAACGACTGCTGTGACTGCACGAAGATGGTGGTGCCGGGGCCACCGACCATGATTCCGATCGATGACGCGTTGGCGGTGAAGGAGGCCGTGAGCTTGGAGAGCTTTGTGGCGACTCTCCGTAAGCTTGATGGCCGGGACAAGTTCACCAAGGTGAGTTCGGCCGGACACTCGGTCAGTCAAAGACGCGCGGCCTCCAGTGAGCATCACGCTGCAACGACGTGCCCCGCGACGATTCTCTGGCCATGCACGCTGCCGTGAGGTAGATCCTGTCGGCGATTCAACCGTGCGCGTACAGGGCTTTTTCAGTCTGTTGGTATGTATTTCCTGGGGAGTGCGTGCTGTGTGCTGCCGTTGTACGAGCTTCAACCAAGAGACAGTTTCTGGTATAATTGGGGCATCGCGGGCAGTCTCTGCTGTTGTGACTACTTTTCAGAAAAGCATTTTTGTCTGAGACACGGATACAAAATGTCCTAACAGCGTATGTATGATAACCCACTCACTACATGTAAAGACTTGAACGCATCCCTTCGATCGGGGCGTACAACCTCAAACGGGCAGTCTTCGCTGTGATTGTATGTGCATCTGCACTGAAGGTCCGACTGGAAGTTACTATTATTATAATGTTGTCTACATCAGTCATCGCATCACGGGCTCGGCGTCTGTTTCTGGATGGCACCTACATTCTACAAGTGACAGCAGCAGCTCGGCTTAATGGACGCCTTTGGTCTTTTCTTCCGTAAGCACAACGAGTACATCTCTATCCAAGGGCATTAGTTTAAATAGGACAAACTACTGCTACAAGGCATTCAGAGTGTTCCATGACCCAACCCTTGTCGTTTCGTGTTTTGTCATTCGCAGTTGATGCAGTACGGGGCCCGTTTCTTGGCGTGGTGGTTGTCGGCGAGGGACCCGGACTTGTCCCAGCGTGTCTTCAAGCTCTACAGGACCACCCAGCGATCGCGCAAGGCCTTCCGCATGCTCAAGGCAAGAGAAACAACTCTACAGAGTACACCCGCGGAGAGCTTCTCGAGTCGTAGCATAGAGATGACGCGATACCACTGGTGTCGCACATACTGCCACGATCTAGGCGTCCTTTTTAAGAGGGTAGCCTGTGTCCTTTCTCCCCCTTCTCCTCTGTTGGCTCAAACCCTCGGCTTCGGCTTCGTGAGGTACAACATGCTGCATCTCCTGGCATACATGTAGCGCAGATAGCAGTCTTGGCATCAGCCTCTGACACACGTCTTATGTGGACAGATCTCTCGCAGACCTACACATGCGTGCACAAACACTTCAAGGCGTAGCTGTACAGCAGTGATGGTCCCTCAATAGTGCGTTTTGTGCCAGCCGCAACACCGACACTATACCGGGCACCGTCCCTATTCAACCAGCACTACTGAGGCCCCCCTACTTCCGTTCGTGTATACTCCGTCGTCGTTTTTGTGCACCGGAAGAGAATCGTGTGCGTGTCGAATGAACTGCCTTTGTTGCGCTGAACTGACGCGGATCTCTCCAGGTAGTTACCATGTAGCCCTAAGCAGTGTACCGCCTCTTCAGACTGTAAGAATGTGCCACCCGTAGACACCATGCCATCATTAGGCAACTCGCCAGCAACGCATTCTCGCGACTGGGGGCTACATCTTCTTGCAACCAGCGCTATTAGTATGATCCCCCCGTGTGAGGCATGCAAAACATGAGTACCCCCCCTCCCCCCCGCGTGTCGGCCGTGCGACGTCCGAACCATCGGCACCAGATATTGGACGAGGTGGTAAAGCTGCGGCAAATTCTCCGCACCGCCGGTGGAAACAGCGCCAGCTCGAGGACGGCTTTCCTAGGGTATGCCGAGACCCTGATGTCCGTCCGGTGCCTCGCTATGGGCGCCTTCTGGACGTTCGACAACCTCAACTACCTCACCATCACGGAGACGGTGTGTGCCCGGCCGATAAGAGAAGTCACCAATAGCGGCAGTGGTGTATGGAATCGTTTTCGCGTTGATTTGAGACTGAAAGTGCGCTTGTCGCGATTTGTTGCTACACACGTTTTGCTTGGGTTGGATGTTGTGATTGGCAAAGTCGCTGTCGCGCGACGAAGAGGGAGACGGGTGAACCACATATATATATATTTTTTTTTTCGGTAGCCTATCCGTCGTACAGTGGCAGAGAAGGAGACAGAGACAGAGACAGATAGAGAGACAGAGACAAAGTATTAAAACAGCGAGCGAGAAAAGAGAAGCTTGCTACAGTCGTTCCGACTGCCCTGTTCGCAGCTAAGTCGATCGAAGCGTCTTTGACGGCCCGCCTCGCTTTCCGTTAACTTTACAGGTTAACTTCGGCGTGGCCAAAGCAACGAGGGGATTCTCCCGATCATGGTCCGTGTCGAGTGCCCTAGCCATCATGCTCGGCATCGACTCTCTAAGAAAGGTGGGTCGGTATCGACCGTATTATGCGCCCGGAAGACGTCGAAAGAAGACAAGTCTTTTCTTTGTGCTAATAGCGCCTTTGAGAGGGGGGGGAGCGGGGGGAGTACTTCCCTCGGATCCGATTTCCCTGTGGTTTCGTTTTCAACCTTTTTCGGCAGTCTTTGAACGCCTCCGGACCACCTGTCCGGTCCTTGAGAGCAGTTGCAGGTGCCCTCGAGTGTGCATAAATCACCACTTACCGTCTCCCCCCCCCGCAGTTGGCGTTGGAACGGTGCATCTTCGTGGAAGAGGTGTGTGGTCAATGATCAACTAACTGGGCGAGAAACAAATGAGACCCCCCCCCCCCCCCGCACTCCTGCCCTCTCTGCTTTTTCAGACCGAGAAAAAGCGGCGAGAAGCGCTGTCAGCCTATGCCGCCGCGGTGAGCGAACGAATAGCACCGCCCGACCGATGTGGTCACTGTAACGGCAACGGGAATAGTAACGGTGAAAGCTACGGTGTGGTGGAGCGGCAGCGGCAGCGTGACGGAGAGGGAGATGGAGAAGGAGATGTGGCGGGGCTGCGAGAGGCCCTTAGACGAGCGAACGCGGACCACTTCAAGTCGTGGCTAATGGTGCTCAAGGTGAGGACATGACGGCCCCGAGTTTTTTCTTGATGCTTTGCTAATTCCGCCGCATGTTGCTGCTGGTGTACAGACGACAGGGTAGCCGGGACCGAACCCAGGGCACGAACGGGAGGGGCAACACAACGCAATCGCGAGCCCATTTTGTACTGCGAATTCCGACACCCAACACCTGTCTTACGAAGAGTCTCCGACTTTGGGGTTCGGTTTCGGTAGACTTTGTTTGTATTTGTCGGTGCATGACCGAATTCCACCACTCATGTTTCGAGTGGTTCCTCGAGAATGCAGTTCTTTTGGGCTGTCTACAGTGTGTAAGCCGTCACCTCAGCAAGCCGTCGGTGTGCAGGCCTTGCCCGGAAATACCAACACAGTTCCGATGGCTCCTCACGATTTTCACGACCATCCCCACACCGCACCATATCTAATCGACCGGTATGCATGAATCCTATTGTGCTTTGACAGGGAGCCCTGGACCTAACATGCGCCGTCAACGTGACCGGCATGGACTTCCCCAAGCGGCTTCTCGGGCGTAAGCTTAACGATGGTATTATCGGGGCCGCCGGTTGCGCCTCCGCCCTCTGCGTGTTGTACAACAATTGGCCCTCGCGGCAGCAGCAGCACCAGCAGCAGCACCAGCAGCAGTTGCTGCTGCAGCGAAAACAGGAGCAGTCACACCAAGGAGCCGGGGTTGCAATACAGCCAAGTGCGTCGAGGTGATGGCATCATCGGCAGAGTGGATAGACGGCTCTGCTGTGGTTCTACGCTAGAGTCGTGTTGGGGCAACGGGGGTGATGAGGGCCAGGAAGCCAGCAGCGACTGGAGGAAGTGGCGGACCTCGGCGTGATTTTTTTTTTGCGGAATGTGAGAGTGTTTCGTCTATGTAACAGTTGTGGGTGTGTCACGTATATTTCGATGCTTACGGATGTCTATGTGTTTTCAGGCCCTTTTGTGTGGTGTATGGGTGATGGAATCGGACGGTGACTGGTGCGAGGTGATGGGAGCGCGCTATGTGGAATGCACGTATCATGTGACCCTCTGTGGGTTTAGACAACCATATGAGTTTTTGGAGTTCTGTCGGCGGTGACGGTAGAGAGTGTTGTCCTTGTGATGGCAGTTCGTCTCGCCTTGTATCACTAAGCTAAGAATTTCGTGGGGTTTCGAGGGTGAAAGTACAACAAGCCGTCGGTGAAGGCCCCATGCTGATCGCGTCAGAGCTGGTCAGGGAACCTCGGGAAAGTATGAGTTTATCCACTTATCCCCGAGCTAAACCACGTGTGTAGAGATATAATTTGTTTTCGTGGAGAGGTCGCGGAGATGCAAGTACGTTGCGTAGGCGTAGCGTTTACTTCTTGTGGTGGTCAAGTTCCCCCGCAATGCCGATGTTGCGCGGGAGGCATGCATGATGTGTAAATACCACGCACGCCACGCCGAGGTCTTGAAAGTTATCATGTGGGATGGGCTCGTCGTTGCCAGTTGACTGTGGAGGTCCAGGCGACTGGCGGCAATTTTTTTATCTCTTGATTTTTTCCCTGATTTTTGCTACTCACTTCCTTTCAGCCACGGAATTTCGAAACAAACTCGGTGGCGTGGTGCATCGATTATCGTTAGACTCTCTGGTGAGCGAGCGCGCCGATGCCGCGCGTTCCTCTGATGATGGGAGCATGTCCGTTTCGAGCAAAAATACCCGACGAAACGAAGAAAACACACCAAGCTTGCGGGGGACAGAAAATAGACGGACAATGAAAGCTTCCTTCAGTGACAGATAAGAGAAGGGTTCTTCGCCAGAAACCAACACGGCGTGTATCTATCCCCTCCCTGCCGGACTCGTGGTTAACTGGTTAATCTATCGACACTTGGTAGAAAATCTTAGCACAGCGTGTGAACCTTGGTGTGTGGTACCCTCCCTGGCAAGTAGGGTTCGAACACGAACTTTTGTCCGCCACGTGAAAAACAAAAAGGGAAAAAAAACTCACCGAGATGGGGATCGACCTTAGACTTCTTCCGACATGGCGTAAGTCGGTCACCCCTTGCGGTAGTAGTGTCAAGTGGAATGCCTCGGACCTGACAGTTTGCCTATAAACGTAACGGGTGTGCGTTTTCTGCAATCGCGTGCCGGTGCATGTAGTGCTCCTGACCACTTCAGCGCGATTCAATCGTGAGGAGAGTAGGGGCTACCGTACACGGCCTTCACTAGAGATGGATCCCTTACGAAGTCCTCAGGTGGCCGTTACTCTTTGTCATTAATCCTAAAGTATGACATGCGAACGTGTCATAATGAGTGATGACATGTTTGTTTATTGGTTTTGCCTTAGTATGTAGATATTGGTGATATCGGAAGCAAGCCGCTCCCGCGCTTGCTTTTTCCTTGGAAACAGTTCGGTGCCTACAAGGCGCCACTCTCGCCCGTCCGTGGCCTCACTGTCTTGCCGAGGAAACATGGTCGATGCTAAACAAAGCAGAACGTGGCATGTACCAGGAAACCGTGGCTGGTCGAAAACTAACGACGTGACACGGCGTTCTCTGCTCGGAATGCCCCGCGGCATCGCGCTCGCTCGTGCCAGAAGAAAATCGACGAGAGTGGAGACTGTAAGTGAGCACTGTTTTCTTGGCAGCGACGATTACCACGATGATGATGGAAATGGAAGTACTACGTACGCGAGCCGAAGAAAAGGCTGAGTTTCAGAAACAGAACAGGCACGCACGGCAGCATGTACGGGTAGTCGAGGGCCCCTGATTTTTCGATTTCCTACCGAGCCATACTCGAGGCACCATTTGATTTGCACTGCTGTATGCAGCTTGAGATCAGCATTTGAGATCTGGTCGGGCAAGGGGTTGGGCTTTCCAAATGGGGACCGCGTATTCGTCTAAGAGACTGGATTGAGCTTACACACTGTTTTGAGTACAAGCCAGGCGTATTCGTGATACGGTGGTGCCGCATACGACAGAACAGGAGCGGTTGGGCGAGCGAGGCTAAGTATATGCGGTAGACACTACATGAGGAGGCGCACTTGTCGAGAGAGCAGGATGCCATAGACCGCAACGAGAAGAAGGCGACTTGGGTTTCCAGTTTCCAGGCTATCGGGATGGCTAACCTGGTCTCTCTTCGTGGACAGGCAGGTTCGAAATTACGGCGACGAACACGCCCTCTCCTGCCGGACAGCAATTTGTACTGACCACCACCTTTTTGGAGAGATCGGCAGTCAGTGTCCTGAGGCCATGAAAACGTCAAAATACACCAAGTTTTAAGGAGTTGTACCCCACGCCACACTAAAACCTATATATGTTGTCGGATTCCCTGCAGAGGATATATTTTCAGCCAAGGATGCTCAAACCTAGGTGAAGTGGTGGCAGGTAATCGGAACAAACGCAGAGAACCGACAGAAATCGTTCAAAGAACGCAGCATGAGTTGCGATGGTGGGCAAGTCCACCAGTATCATTAAGTTCTTGTATGGATACTTCAACGCACGTCGTTCTCTTTATCACGTGTCTCGGCTAGCGGCTTGCCTCGCCATCCTTGCCATCACATCACCGCTTCTGGCGAACACGGGTATTATGCACTAGAGCCTGCCCGACCGTAGCGGAGAAAGAAAAAAAATGGTGTTTTCAGTAAATCAGGTATACAACGTGCGACAACGACTCGATTTGTACAAAGTACTAGAGACGGACGCAATCAGCTATTTCCATCTCCACAAACTTGGCACTACCTGTCGCACTGCAATCTGCTGCTTTACCGGCAGACCACGATAGAGCAATCTACACACCACCTGCTGTGATTCTTTAAAAATGCAAAGGACTGCACGATACACTACCCTCCGTCCATCCCACTTAACATATATAGCTCTCCGAAAACTCGGCACCCATCAGTAACCTCCCCCATCTCCGCTAGCCCACCCACCCCCACCTCCACCGCCACCACCGCTGGCCCAACCACCCCCCCCACCACCACCGCTTCCCCACCCCCCTCCCCCCCGCCGTCCACCGCCTCCATCTCCGTAATCGTCCGCGTCGTGTGGCCTTGGCGCCTGGCACCTGTAGCAAACTTGTCGGCTCGCGAAATTGTGGAACTGGCACGACGGGCAATCCCAGTCGCCCTCCTTTTTCTGCACCGGCTCTCTCTGCCTGTACCCCCCCCCCCCACCGCCGCCGGAACTGCTGACCCCCCATCCCTCCTCGTACGGCTTGGGTTCCCGGCATCTTGGGCACACGGACCGCGAGGCGAAGACGTGGTTGCCACACGTCGGGCAGTCCCTGCGGGGCCCCCGGCGGGCAGAGAGGAGGGTCAAGGGCAGCACACGTAGAGGGCACGGGAACGAGGAAATGCACGTCAATTTGGGGTCAAAGCTCAACTTCATACGTCATCACCGCCGTCGAGTACAGGATACTTGAGATCTCCAGCTAAGCTAAAAGAGCTGTGTTAACCCACTCTTCACATTGTGTTGCGGAAATTTGAGCCTTTCGCTTTTATCTGCGGGCCCGCACCACTACTGCTATGAGTACTGGTATGGTATGAAGGAGGAAGGTCGACCCTGCAAAGCCAGCCCGGTTGCTCGCTATGGGAGGGCACCCCCGCAGATGGTACAGCAAGGAGAGAGACAGGAACCCCCGAGGACACATGAAGGTAATTACTGTTTTTGCTTTTCGCCGTCTTGGCTTTGGTTCGATTGCCTGCTTCTGGGCTACACATCCACCACCTCCGATGGCGGAACCTTCTCGCCAACCGTATTCCCCCTTCTTGAGTAAAATGCTTATACCGCTTACGTAGGATTGCACACGACTTCACACACTCAATGGACGCACATTTCAGAGTACAATGACTCAACAACCAAGAGGAAGCCAAAGTCAATCCACAAGATTTTGGAAAGCTCTCGACGACACGAGTTTCATCCTGGACACCACTACAGGAGTAGTTTGTGCTGCAGAGCAATCGGGCTTCGAAGATTGGTCCAAGGGGTGGTGGTATCTTACGTAAGCTACTCCCTCCCAAAGGTCAGGGCACGAGGGCGGGGAGCGGGGACGGCTTGAATAACACCGGCAGTTTTGTGAGAGCCCGTCGAAAACAGCGTCATCTGTTCGAGAAATCACTCCAGCGTTGCATTGCGACGACAAAAACAAGCTGGACGCTTTCACCCGCGCGCGGCCGCAAAGCTTGATCCACGACAACCGGACGGTGGTCGGCCGCCTTCTTGCAATGTCCGGTTTCCCTTCACTCACTGCAACGACTTCAACACATCCCCTTCGACTGTGGTTTTATCTCCAACGGGCAGCCTTTCAGTGTTTCTTTGTACATTTTCCAAGAATCGTGCATCGGTGTTTCGAGCGAACCATCAGTCACCGCTGGACGGTGTAGGTGTTTGTGTCCTCAGCCTAGAAGTCCGACAATGTAGATAATTTTGAACATCATTTGATTCGCGCGCACCGGCCGCAATCACAGCCCCACCCCTTTAAACCTGACGCGCCACTCCGTGCAAGCAGTATGCCGCTTCGATGAATCTCTAGGTTAGGTCGCAGTTTGTCAGACCCGTCAAAAACGTATCCATCTGTTCGAAAAAAATGTAGCGCTTCAATGCAACCACCACAATAAATTAGACGCTTTCTTTTGCGGGCGCCCGCGCAGCTTGATCCACGATAAACGAAAAATGGTCGGTCTAGAACGTTGCATTGCAATCGGTGTGTCGAGCGAACCATCAGTCACCGCTGGACGGTGTTTGGTGTTTGTGTCCTCAGTCTAGAAGTCCGACAATGTAGATAATTTTGGACATCATTTGATTCGCTCGCTCCGGCCGCAATCACAGCCCCACCCATCTACATACACCTGACGCACCCGTACGCAGGATGCCGCTTCAACGAAACCTTTAGTCGCGGCGCGAAACGCGCCCAACACCTCGTACACGCAAAACGACTTTTCTCTGATCTCACGTGTGGTGTCATGAGGGATTTGGAACTTCGTTTCGGCATTGTTCTTCTAGCGTGTGTGCGCGCGCATCACGCCGTCGAATACGGCGCTATCGCGGCCGCGGGAGTGAAGACCACAATGGAGGGATGGATGCGGAAGGGGGAGAAAGCAAGCTCGTTCGCGTGCTTGCTGCCAAGTGCGGGAGACTGGCGACTAGATCATGCGTCATACTGCTGTGACGAAGCCAATCGATATCACCGAGTGTAAACTAGCATCTACCGGTAGCGCGCGCGCGGGAGGGGAGGGGGGTAGGCCAAAGAACACGGGGCCCTCCTGAGACGGTCGGTGTTGTGTGAGACATCACCTCACGAAGAGCCCCAGACAGCTGCTGTCAGACCGCACCACGCTCTGCTGACGAGCTGCCAGATTTCCTCCGTATCGTATCGTATACGTATCGTATACAACACATAGACAATAATATTTTTTTTTGTTCTCGATTGTATGCGACATGGTATTGAGGATGCACAACTAACGACCAAGCCCTGCAGATGAGGGAAGTACCGGCCCGTTGCCAGTATACTGTAGATCAACGCAACTACTCTGCACGAGCGCCACCACCGATCTGCTGGAGAGCTCTCTCCCATCGCTCAGGAGATGGGAGGCAAAACCATCCCATTAGAGTTTGGACGACAAGAAGAAGCGGTTGTCAGAGCAAAAAAGTACAGCAGTATGTAGCTGTGTGTCCAGTTCTCAGGAAACTGCGCCAACACCAACGGCTAAGGTACTCGATAGGCGCCATTGGAGTCGGGGGGGGGGGGGGGGGGGTGAGTCGGCGCTTGGCTCTATTATAATGCTGCGTGCCCTGTTCGTACAAGGGGAGTGGTGGTCAACGGCCGTACCGACGAGGCGCAAACGTCCAAATTGCAGAGCAGCACAGCATGCCCGCGCCAGCACCGTAATTCGCTGCAGCAGCAGCAGCAGCGTTGCCGGCAGCATCGATCAAGCAGGGCACCCGTCTTTGTGTGACAGCCAAGGAGAGGCAACACCCTGAAAGCTGAGGAAAGTTTGTGCGGTCAGCTGCAGCCGTAGGCTCCTGTTGGAGCCAACAAACGCAGGAGACAGCAGCACCCGACGCACATCCTACTACACACACCAATTGCCAAACTCACCAATCGCCGGGTCGCCTCTCGACCACTCTACGCTGGGGACGGTGGCTCCTTCCCGTCACCCCGTGTCCTCCCCCGTCATTCCCGTGCCCACTCCATGGTACGCCGCCTTGCCCCCCGTCTTGTGCATAGCTCAGCGCTCGGACAGCAGCGACAGGCGCGACGGGCACAACAAGCCTGGCGGGCGCAATCAATGGCCATCGTGCGAAAAGCACCGCCCTTGTGGCATTCCGGCACGCGCTCGTCATGCTCGCCATGACTAACGTCTTTTCCCCGCGTGAGGGGGATGGCGAAGGGAAGGGGAGAGTGGAGGTACCTGGGTGAACGAACGAGAGCACTATGCTGCTATGCTGTAGGGGGGGATGCGCAGTGAGGATAGCAGCACGTGCGGTACAGTATCGAGAAAAATTGAGGTTGTGCCGCATGTGTGGTCGGTGCGTCTTTGCCTGCACAGCGGCAGCACTAGCACAACATCTTACACAGAAGGGGAAGCTACACTAGGCATGAACCATGCAGGAGTCCTCGCTGCGACATGCTGTGTCCTGGCCCTTGTGCAGCCGGTGCACGCATTCGTAGCTGTTCCGCCTGCCGTGAACACGCGGCGGCCGGGAGGACTGAGCTCGCTTGACGTGCGGCAGCAGGCGGCCTCAGCTCGGCCCCACAGCAACGGCGCCGAGGCTGGTGTCCGAGGCAGCCGCAACTGCAGAAGGCGGCAGCGCCATGTGAGTGACGAAGGCGTAAGTGGAGGACGCTTATTCGACCAAGGGTAGCCAGACCGTCATGGAAATGCACGGAAGGGAGAAACCCGTCTCTGCTGTACTAGCTTGTGCACGTGGTGGACGCAGTCTCCTGATGTAGACCACGGCTAGCTGCTCTGTGTGCAATCGGCACGTAGTCGTTTGCCTTCGTTGCTCGAGTGCTCTGCAGTTGTACAGTAGTCGAGCGGTACCTACTGCTGTGCAGATACCGCAGCACCTTAATGGCAAGCACAATAACTAGAAAGTCGGCAATGTATCGTCAGCGTCCGCGCATGTTATGCATGTTTCCAACCGAGGTTTACAACAGTTTATAAGCCAGGCAAAGCCGTGCACAAAGCCTCAGAGTCGACCATCTATGGGCGTTGATTCTCGATAGCCGCTGCCCGATACTGAGCAGGATGGTTGACGACGTAGCACCATGCACACGGGAGACTTCCGTTCGCCGAGCGTGCATTTAGATGTGCCCCGTAGCACCAGCAGAGCATTCCGAACACCGAAGTGCCGTTGGCCTGCTTGCTGTTACGGGTCATCGCAGGTAGACCACGGCGTCGCCTCGATACCTTACCGATACATACCCTACATACCAACGGCTCTCCTTTGCCGCCCCCAGCGCCGAAAATGAAGCTACGAGCAGCAGTAGGAGGCATTCGCGCAACAGTCGTACCGTGAAACCACGCCGAACGTCGCGGCGGCAAGCAGAAGCAGCACCCCCGCCCCCACATAACGACGGCCTCGTGATGCACATCTACGGGGGACTTTCTTCCTTCCATCCACGCCAAGACCCAATCTGCCCTTTCTTCCCCCAATCTGCCCTTTCTTACCCCAATCTGCCCTTTCTTACCCCAATCTGCCCTTTCTTACCCCAATCTGCCCTTTCTTACTCCAATCTGCCCTTTCTTACCCCAATCTGGCCGTCCTTTGGGTATCCAAGAGCCCTGACGGTGTCAGTTTCGCTGTTTGGCACGACGGACCACTTTCGAGCCCTGACGGCGCCAAATACCCCCCTGTTTCGCGTGTTGGACCAAATACGTGTCCAGAGAGCGAGGTGTAACGGGTTGACGCCCAGAATGAAAAGGGCGATACACGAAGAGGTGGAACCGTAGCAATATAAGTTCGTCACCGGAGAACACTAAACACTCATCACTGCTAATCTACCGCGGACTCTTGCCTGTGGGAGAGATGGGTATGTTGCGCTCTTTGTAAGAAAAATGTATGGCAAAAAAGTGTGCTAATTGGCTCTGTTTTCCAGGTGATGATGGGCGCGACGGCGGCGACTAGACTCGAGAGCCTGACGGTGTCCCCCATCTCCCTCATCTCCGGGGAGGTCGAGCTGCCGGGCAGCAAGTCCCTCAGCAACCGCGTGCTCCTGCTGAGCGCCTTGGCTGAGGTACGTTACGAGCCGATCTTGCGATGTCGATGGTGGTTGCGAAATTGAATAAATATTTACCGGCGGGTTCGCAGGGGATGGCTGCAGGATCAAGGGCGTTCCACGTACACACCTTTTGTACCTCGTGTCCTTGTCCTTGGGGTGCATTCCTACGCTACGTGAATTGAAACGGTGTCCGCTCCCATTTGCTTACGGTCATCAAAGGATCGAATGCGGGAATTTTTTCGGGATATCGTAGAACTTGTGAGCGAACAATCTCTCGATGGTAAGAGATTGTGCAACCCTTTTACCCGGTATAATCCTGAACTCGGAAGGTCCGCAACGTTTCTCACAGCCAAGCCGTGCACCGCTATCTCGCTATCTCTCTCCCTCTCCCCCCCCCCCCTTGTATCCAATGCTCCTTCGTCATTTTTTTTTTCTGCTACTCTCTTTTCCTCTCTCTCTCTTTCCGCAGGGCGACGTAAGATTCCCCCAGGTGTTGGAGAAAATGGGCGCGACTCTTACTTGGGAGGCGAACGCCATGACG